TACCTGCTAACTTTATAAATAATGTAAATATCAAGAGTAGTGTAAGGTCCGAAGGCTCAAAAGTAGTAGAACCAAGATTAAATCTTGGATCTCCTGATTTCAAGTCCAGTACTCTTTTCACTATGTCATATCACCCACATAAAATTTAATTCAACCCAACTCAACAATAAGCTTTTATTAAATGCCAACCTGCCAGGCACTGTGCTAAATACTACAGATAGAAAGATGAAAAAAAAAATGAGCGAGTACCAGCCCTGACAGAGATTAAAGTCTCCAAAGAGACTACAAAATGTATACAGATAAGCAAATACAAAAGGTTTTTATTTTGGTTTGTTTTAATTTGGGTTTTGGAGGGGGTTTAGAGAGGCAAAAGCAATAACTGGAAAGTGACTGTATGTCACCTCAGTTAAAGGAGCAAAGGATTCCAAGTGGTAAAGGTAAGAAAGGAGAATACTCCAAGCAGAGGGCACAGCCTGTGAACAAGGCTGAAAAAAATGATTTCATTCATTTCCAATAGGAAGAACTCATACCATGGCTACTAGGAAGAGGTGGGGAGGAAAAAAAAATTACCTGATAACTTTATTATATATTTAAAAGGAATAGCAAGTTGTACATAATAGATTTGCAATTTCATGTACAGTCATATTTTCCTGTTCTACTAGATTTATGGAAATACTTGTTTTATTTCTTAAGTTCAGAACAAAATAAATAAAATTTTAAAAAATAAACAGAAGTAAATATAGCTGTCATTCACAGCATTCCTTTTGCCACCCAAGGATACTTTCCTTTCTTCTTACATGAGGTACCCTAACACTGGTGAGTTACCCTAACAAACACTTTGTCTACAAGGTAAATAGGAGGGGGAAATGAGAGGGGGAGGTTTCTCAGGAGTGAAATTCAAGAAATACTGATAGGTCACTCAGAACACAGATATATTGAACTGAATATTATCTAAGATTAGAAGAAAATAAAAGAGCAAAGTCTCAAGTGACACCAGAGAAAATGTTATTTTGATATTTTGATAAGAAACAAATACAATTTCAGGGAAATATTTGCAGATCATCTATTTTTCATTCTCCCATACTGCTAACCCCACATGCGGATTTCAGATTTTAAGAAGTAAAAAATACATTGAAAGAAAAAAAAAAACCTCAACACAACCAGAGATAATTCTAAATAAAATAGCTTCTCTGTATTTCTTTTTAAACAAAGCAACATTTGTCACCTTCAAAGCTACAATTCCAAAACTCTTACCAAAATTCAAGGTCTACCCTTGGGATAAAAGTATAAACAGTAGAAAGCGGCCCTTATTTCTTGTCCATATTCCTTAGTGAACCTTAGCTAAGTCCAAATTATTTTGAGGGAATTTTAAGGAAGCAAACTAAGCTATATGAAAACTTTTTTTTGATTGATTATATTGGTGGACTCCTAACCATCAGTACTTTAGCCTTTAGTGTGCTACTGAAAATCAATCAGCTGATGAGCATTTATCAAGAACGGACCAAGTTTTGGTAATTATGCTAGAGGCTAAGGATGGAAAAAAATAAACAAACAAAAGTGAAAAAAAAGTTCTTGTCCTCAGGGAGTTTTTATTCTGCCAGGAGAGATACATATGCTGGTGTTTAGTCCTTTTAGTGGGGTGGACTCTTCATGACCCTGTTTGGGATTTTCTTGGAAAAGTTACTGCAGTGGTTTTCCTTCACCAGCTCATTTTACAAATAAGGAACTGAGGCAAACAGGATTAAGTGACTTGCCCAGGGACCTACAGCTAATAAGTACCTGATTTGAACTCACAAAGATGAGTCTTCCTGACTCCAGGCTTGGCACTTTATCCACTGTGCTACACAGCTGCAAAGATGCATTGGCCAATGATCCATTGGCTGGATCTCTGTGGAATATGTATGGGTGATGGGTTTCCAGGAGCCATTCCATGGAGTAAGAATGGAGCTGGGCTAAGCTGTCCTGGAAATCTCTGGTGACACATAGGCCTCAACACCGAAGAAGATGATGAGCTCATTATACTCTTGGGTCCTGCAACAATGAGGGTCAAAGGGGATGCACAGTTTTGCGGCCTTTGGGGTATAGTTCCAAATTGTTTTCTGGAATGATTGGACTAGTTCACAACTACACCAACAGTACATTAGTGTCCCAATTTTCCGAAAGTCCTCCCAGCATTTCTCATTTTCCTTTTCTATCATGTTAGCTAATCAGACAGGTATGAGGTAGCATCTCAGAGTTGTTTTAATTTTCATTTCTCTATAATCAGTAGAGATAGCTTTGATTTCTTCTAAAAACTGCCCATTTATATCCTTATCCATAGATCTGGCAGGTACATTTTTCCACATACCCCTAACTTATTTATATCACCATTTATGTCTAAATAATTTATTCATTTTGACCTAATCTTAATATATGCTATTATATACTAGTCTATGTTTAGTCAAACTTAGTCAAACTGCTTCCACGTTTGCCCAGAAATTTTTGTCAAATGTTGAGTTCTCAACCCCAAAGCTTGGATCTTTAGGTTTTTCAATGGTCATTACCTTGCATTATGTACTTAATCTATTCTACTGATCTGCTACTCAATTTTTTTAGCCAGTACCAGATAGTTTTGACGATTACTGCTTTGTAATTTAATTTGAAATCTTGAACTGCCAGCCCTCCTTGATGAACGTTTTTTCAATGATTTCCTTAATATTCTTTTGTTTTGTTTTGTTTTGTTTTTTAGGCAATTGGGGTTAAGTGACTTACTTGCCCAAGGTCACACAGCTAGCAAGTGTCAAGTGTTTGGTCTGAGGCTGGATTTGAACTCAGGTCCTCCTGACATTGCCTGATTTCTTTAATATTCTTGACCTCCTCTTCTTTTTCCAGATGGATTCTATTACTATTTCTCTATGTGTATAAAATAATTTTTGGTAGTTTGATTGTAATGGAAATGAATAAGTAAATTATTTTAGGTAGAATTGTCATATATATTATATTGACTCGACGTACTCATGAGCAACTAATATTTCTCTAACTGTTTAGTTCTGTTTTTATTTGTGTGAAAACTTTTTTTAAATTTTGTTTTGTTTGAAATTGTGTTCATATAATCCCTATGTTTGAATTGATAGGTAAAATCCCAAGTATTTCATATAGTTTGCAGTTATTTAAAACATAATTTCTCATTCTATCTCTTCCTGCTGGGATCTGTTGGTAGTACATAGGAATGCTGGCAATTTATGTGGGTTTATTTTATATCCTGCAAATTTACTGAAGCTGTTAATTGTCTGAACTAGTTTTTTGCTTGATTCTCCAGGGTTTTCTAAGTATACCATAATATCATCTGCAAAAAGCGATGGTTGTGTTTCCTCATCATCTATTCTAATTCCTTCAATTCTTTTTTCTAGCATTTCTTGAACAATATTGATAATGGACATCTTTGTTTCACCCCTGATCGTACTGCGAAGGCTTCAAGTTTATCCCCACTACAGATGTTTGTTCTTGGTTTTAGATAGATTCTACTTATCATTTTAAGAAAAGCTCCATTGATTCCTATGCTTTCTAGTGTTTTTAATAGGAATGGGTATTACATTTTGTCAAAGGCTTTTTCTGCATCTATTGCTATGATAGTATGATCTTGATATAGCATACAATTATATTTCTGTCATTTTTGTTATTGATATGGTCAATTACACTGATAGCTTTCCTTATTTTGAACCAGCCCTGAATTCCTTGTATAAATCCCACCTGGTCATAGTGTATGATCTTGGTGATATATTGCTATAATCTCCTTGCCAGTATTTTATTTAAAATATTTGCATTGATACTCATTAAGTAAATCAGTCTAAAATTCTCTTCCTCAGTTTTTGTTCTCTCTGGTTTAGGTATTCAAACCATATTTGTATCATAAAAGCAATTTGGTAGGAGTTCTTCTTTTCCTATTTTTTTTCAAATTATATAGTGTTGGGATTCATTGTTCCTTAAGTGTTTGGTAGAATTCACTTGTAAATCCATCACTGAAGGCTTGTTTAATTTCTTTTCCTAAAATAGGGTTATTTAAGTATTCTATTCCTCTTCTGTTAATCTGGGCAGTTTTGTTGTTCTTTGTTTAGTCATTTTTCAGTAATTTCCAACTCTCTGTGACTCCTTTTGGGGTTTCCTTGGTAAAGATACTGTAGTGGTTTGCCTTTCCTTCTCCAGCTCATTTTATAGAGGCACCTGAGGCAAACAGGGTTAAGTGACTTGCCCAGTAAGTGTCTGAGGACAGATTTAAACTCAGGAAGAGGAGTCTTCCTAACTCTAGGCATGGCTTTCTATCTTACACCACTCAGGGGAGGCACTAAGAGCTATGGGGATCAGGAAAGACTTGTATAGAAGGAAGAAGCTGAGCTAACTTTTGAAGGAAACCAAGGATTCTAGGAGGAGGTGTCGAGGAGGGAGTGTACTGCTGGTAAAAGATACAGCTGGTATGGAAAGGCACAAATACAGAAGCCAGACTGCTCTTGGTGGAGAACATTCACCTCAATTTCCCCAAACTGTAGCAAACAGGAATGTGAGTAATATAAAAGAAAAATGGAGTGTTTCGTGAAGTTTGTGAAGCATTTTAAAAGTCAGGTAAGTTTATATTTGATCTTAGAAGAAATAGAGAACCATCTGAATGTACTGAGTAGGAAAATGGAATGGTCAAACTCGTCTGCATTTTAGGAAAATCATATTAGCAACTGTGTGAATGATGGATGGGAGAAGAAGACTTGAGGCAGGGAGACCAATTAAAAGGCTGTTGCATGAGAAAGATGAAAAGGGCAAAGGCTTTCTGCTGTCCCCTAAATACCATCAGAACCAAACATGCAAACAGTCATTTTAGACGGAAAGAAATGAAGAGGAAATTATTTCTTTTAAAGAAAACAAGTTAAATGGCTAAAAGGCATAAAACTGAAGCTTGCCTAATGTATATTCCTCTTCTATACCAAGTAGTCATTTCAGACATTGGAGGCAGCACACTTAGTACACATACGTACCTAATTTCAGAGCAGAAGTAGTTACTTCAATTTCTCCACCAATGGGCTTAAAGGCAGCCAGCTGGGTAGCCACTTCTGCATCAAAAGGATCTGGGCTGTGGCTCTCTGTTATGTTTCCACTAGGGCTCTCAATCTTAGGAACCGATTCTTGTTCATCAAACACAGCAATCAGCTATAAATAAAGCAATAAAAAAGGAGTTATTTTACACGGTATAAATTTTACTTCAACACAGAATATACCAATTCTAATTCCATTTTTTCTATTGTTTTTAGATGAAGGTGGTCCTTAGAGCCTTTATAAAGGGCTCTAAAATGCTTACTGGGTTTCTTAATTCTCTATGATTACTTGTTCTCTGCATGTGCCTCTGTGTTCTTCCCAACCTTCTCCATCCCCCTATCAATTAGGAGAAAAGCTTTCTTTGATTTTTTTTTTCAAAACTAGAGAAAAGATTTGGGTCAACACTAATAATGACAATAATGATATGTCACATTTATGAGGTTCTTTAGGATTATAAAGCTTTTTAAACAGATTATTTAATTAGATCTTTACAACAGACTTGTGAAGTAGGTAAATATGTGTAATGTTATCCACAGTTTCCATATGAGTAAACTTTGGTGATGACCAAGTTCCTAGGACTAGTGAAAAGCTGGGCCTTAAACCCACCTTCTGATTCTACTACCACTGCTCTTTCTTACTATATCATGCTGGGTTCAATAAATGCCCTATTCCTTACGTAAGGCTCCTGAAAATATCTTCTTTTTTTTTTTGGATTTTTTTTAAAGGCAATTGGGCTTAAGTGACTTGGCCAGGGTCACACAGTCAATACGTGTCAAGTGTTTGGTCTGAGGCTGGATTTGAACTCAGGTCCTCCTGACTTCAGGGCCGGTGCTCTATCCACTGTGCCACCTAGCTGGCCTGAAAATATCTTCTTAGAAAATAAAATCCAAATCTTTAGCTAGAAGCTATGTGACAGATAATCTAGTCCCACAATCTCATTTTACAGATGAGGAAACTAACACAGAGACAACTAAGTGATTTGGCCAAAGGCAGGCTGCTCTTCAATATCAGAGGCTAAGTTTGAACCTGGGTGTTCTGACTCCAGTATTTATTGGATGCTCTAAACAAAAGCGGAAGGGGAGGGGAAGAAATTTTGCCACTAGGTCACCAGGGTTGGTCCTAGAAGTAGGTTTTTTACGTGATATGATTGCATAGTGACACAAGGCTTCATTTGTATAAAAATCTTTCCTGCGCTAACTTGTTATAAACATCTCTAGTAATCCTATCCGAGTCACTCCTTTGTGCTGAAAGCCAATGCAGAATTGTTGCCTGGAAAGGAGGACAAATAAAAATCAGCAACTGTAAATATACCAGTGTAAATTAAATGATCACATTAATTAGGTTAAAACAAAAATAATAGTGCTCCAAGGAAGTGAGGGCAGCAGGGGGTGAGAACAGGGAATGAGAAGGGAGGTGGCTCAAGAAAAGGTACTGCCCAGAGAAGGCCAACCTAGGGCATCAGAGTGGGCTTTGAGAAATCAAATAAGGAAAAGAAGATAATCAATGTTTTAGGAGTGGGAAGGAAGGCAGGGAGAACAGTATGGGATTGATCCCAAAGGCAACAGGGCAGGGGGCAAGCAGGATGATAGATTCCTTATATTCTAATTACAGCTGGAGGGGGGAGAATAAGTAGACATCTACATAAACAAGGGAGAAGGGTTTGGGGGAGCAGCTTGAACCTCACTTTCATTTGAACTGGTCAAAGGAGAAAAAACACATATACACATAGAATTGGGTACAACAATACATTTCACTCAACAGGGAAATAGAAGGGAGAAAGAAGTGGTGCCCATAAATTGGGGAATGACTGTATTAGTTTTAGAATTATAAATGTGATGGACTACTACTGTGTTATAAAAATGATGAAGGGGATGGTTTCAGAGAAACCTGGGGAAACTGAATTCAGAGAAACCTGGGGAAACTGAATACGAATTGATACAGAATGAGTAGAACCAGGAGAACAATTTATTCAGTGACAACAGTATAGTAAAGACAAATAAAAGAAAGAATTAGGAACTCTGATCAGTGGAATAACCAACCAGGATTCTAGAGGACTAATGATGAAATATGTTACCTGAGTCCTGATAGAGAGGTGAAGGATTCAGAGTGAAGAATGAGATATATTTTTTTGGACATGGTCAATGTGGAAATGTGTTTTGCCTGACTATACTTGTTGTAATAAGAGTTCTGCTTTTAACTTTCTTTTCTTTTGCAACTGGGGCATGAGGTAGGAGAAAGAACAGGCAGACTTGGCTGAATGAAAAAAATTAATTTAAGAAAAATAGTTACAATCAGTAATTATATATACCCAGGCAGGATTCAAGGGTTGCCTCTGACACATGCATGTTGTCTGATCCTAGGCAAGGCACTTAATCTATTTGTGTTCTTAGCCACTATCTAAGACTCAAAATTGCAGAGTACACAGTGATCCGTGATGGTAGAGGGAGTTTTCTCACAGGCTCAATCCAAAAAGTACACGCAAAATGGTACTGTCTTTTAAAAGAGGTACCACAATTATATTGTCTAAGTCCTATCCATGCTCCAAGATCCAGGTCAAATAACATCTCCATGAAGCCCCCACTCTTCCCACCAAGTAAGAAATTATCACTCCACCCTAAACTAACAGTACTTTGTATTTACACTTTCTCATGGAATTTGAATTATAATTATTTGTGTATATGTTCCATTTTCCTATGATGTTAGGTTCATGGGGGCCCAAATTGACTTGTCTAACTTTGTATCTCCCCCTGTGCCAAGCTTTGCATTCTACCTACTGCAAATGACTAATAAATGTAGAAGGAAATTATCTTCCCTATGAGACTAGAGGATACATGAGGGTAAGAGCCATGCCATGGACATTCTTTGTGCCCCCACAAAGCCCTGAACATGACTCAATACATTTTTATTAATGAATGTGTAAATATTTGCTATCATAGATAGAGGACTTAGTCCTTGGATTAAAGAATATCTCAAATTCTGCTTCGATACATGATAGCTATGTGACCATAGAAAGGTTAAAAAGACAACTCCCTTAACCTCTGAGGTATCTAAAACTATAAAACTACAGGTGCTTTGCTGTCAGTATCATACAGGGGCTCTCCACACAAAGTTTTCCCTAAACAGATTAAATTACAGGTTTTTAAACAAAAAGATACTTATTTATATTAATTACAGTATACCCATTTCCTTCCCCAAATTATATAGCAGCTTCCCTGAGGCCAATCAGGGACAGAATCTAATGCTTGTTCTTCAAATGATAACTTATTTTATCTTGGACAATATAATAATGTGTTTCCTCTATTTAGTTGAAGGCTGGACTAGACACTGTGTGAGTTCTCTTCTAGTTTTAACTATTATGAGATTCTTATCTGTGAAAGGTTTCCCCTTGAACAGAATATAGTACTACACAGCCTTTGAAGATGACATTTATTTATTCAATAATGAACTTGACTGAAGAATCCCTTACATGTATGTTGTAGAGGGGAATTCTTTTTTTTTACTTACCAGTGGACTATGTAGTTTCTAAGATCCTTTCATAATCTAAGATTCTGTGATATTCTATGTTTTTTAAAAAATCAAATACCAATAAAGTGGTTACTTGAAGATCAAATTCTATGTTATGATAACTGCTAACCTGAATAACAACATATATGTAAATCTGATGAAATTCAAACTTGAAATTCAGCCATTAGTTAGAAGATAAGCTTTGTAAGCATTGTATTTTGTACTAATTTGTCCTAATGATGGATGATTTTTCACTTTAAAATATTAGACAAACAATTAACATCCTAGTATGTCAATCTACTTTAAAAGTAACTTGAATGTCACACTTTAAAGAAAAAATAAGATAACTAATGGAAATTAGGTCTTTCATCACCCTCTACACAAAGCAAATCTAACCATTATTTAAAATATTTAGTTAGAAAAGCTGCTCAAAACCCCATTTATAAGGGCACCTTGTTGCCAACAATATTAATAACACAATTGCATTACTAATCAATCAAAACATCATAAATACCAACTTCAGCCTTTCAAAAGGAGCACATATAATTAGGGATATGCAAATTAACTATTCAAAAATAATTTTCATAATTGACTACTCATTTCCAGCACAGAGACTTCTTCAATTGTGAAATCTAGCAACCCTTCTCTCCCCAAGAGAAAAATGATACTCTCAAAGTTTTTTTTTCATTTTCTTGGGACAAAAACTACAAATTTTCTGCTCTGTAATTGGTAGTACTGATAAATGGCTTTTAAAGTTAAGACCTAAATAGATCAGTAATCAAAAGATTACTCTAATACAAAATAATCACTACACTGACATTCTTCTAATCTACTGGCAAAAACAGTATGTTATGTTTCTTTAAACACCTCAAATGCTGACAAGAATAATCAATAAAGGAACAACATGAAATGTTGTATTTATCACTAGACCTGTAGCATAATTAGAATGTCAGCACTACACAATGTTGAAATCCAGCACATATGAATACATGCGACATTGTTGAAATCCAATACATATGAATAATAATCATAACAATATACCAATCAACTAGGCAAATAATAGGTTATTAAATCGTTAATACCTTAAAGCGGTTTTTATTTATCTAAAAGCTTTTTTACAATTGGCAAGCCCTATCCCTGTATTGTGGGGGAGGGATTTTTTTTTTTTAATTCCTGACAGAATCTAGTCTATTGAAATCATTATGATAGCTTAAACCTCTGGGACGTGAAGACTGGGGAGCTGGTAATAGAATCTTAATCAGAGGTGTGTTGTAAGAATTTTAAATAGTCAAATATCTGGTAAATTTTAAGTGACATTTAATTCTTTGATTTAGATTTTCTTTCCAGTGTATTTTAATAATTACTATCTCATATCTGTACAACTGTATATGAAAGATAGAGCCCATTATTTCCTTCCAACCTGGTCCCCTCCATTTTTCAGTTTCCTTTTGTATGTTGTTTGTCTTCCTCCATTGGATTGTAAGCTCCTTGATGACAAAGACTGTCTTTTTATTTTATTTGTGTCCTCAATACTCAGCATAGTGCCCTGATAGTAAGTGCTTAATAAATGTTTATTGACAACCATTATTGACCAGAGCAAAATGTAGCCA